TTGACAGAATAATCCACAATCTGCACAATTGGCGAGAGTCGAACTTGTATATACTTTCATGAATTCACTGTAATTAAGCCAATAAATTGGCAATGTGCTATTTCGATTCGGCGACCTCGGAGTAGAAACAAACAGGAACACTTTTTACTTTTTAACGTTTTATATGTGGTGTGTGGGAATTAAACAGAAATTGAAGCAAATACAAAAACTGTACAATTTGTCAGATCAAAGCAGATGTCAGACTTGTTTGCAAAACAGTTTACACAACAGAAATTCTAATCATGAACAAATAAAAAGAGCGTGTGTTTATTAACAGAAGGCAGTCGGTTGGTAGTTCCACTGGGGTCAAAGACTCCGTCCATTAGCGTTGAACAGAAGCCGAAAAGACAACCGACTCCCGATTCTGACGGCTTTCGGCTCGAAAGTGAAAGATTTTAGCCTTAAACGGATAATGGAGCTACCTTATATTGAAGAAACTGGACCAGGAAGGTTTTTTTTTAACAGGCGATAAAACACCCAGGGGTATAGAAATTTTTCAGCGATGAAAATGAAGAGAAAGCATTTCTTCAACACCGGAGGTGAACGTCCTGTCGGTGCCCTTTGATCTACCGCAGACGGATTAGGCCGTCATTGATTGAACCGCCCATCAGGGCCGAGCCGAGTATCATTCATCTAATATTTGACTTCCTGAGATCCCAGAGGTCTGATGAGTTTTAATAAGTCGGCAGAGCCTTGAATTTATTTTTCAACCCATGAATTCAACCGATGATTATAGTAAATTAAGAAGAAAATGTCCACTTTTGTCTTATTCACTTTACTTCAACAAAAAACATGTATTGTAATTATGACCAAAACTAGGACTATTCGATGTGGTAACATTTGAAATTCCTGCCCTATTTTATGGAGTAGATTGTTTATTTTATTTTAGTGTTTAATGGTGCATTATATTTATTTTTAATAATTATAAAAAATTGTATTAAATGAGAGTGACGGAAAAAGAGTTTGTGATTGAGATAAGGTGAGTGAGATAAGAAAAGAATGAGTGAGATAACGTAAGAGTGAGTGAGATAATATGGGAATAAATGAGATTAGGAAAGATTGCGTGAGGTAAGGCGAGGGCGTTAGTGAGATGACGAATGTGTGTGAGTGAAATAAGGAGACTGTGATTGAGAGGAGGTTGAATGAAAAGAGAGAGAGGGAGAGGGATGAACATTATTAATTTTATCAACACTGTCAATTCAGTGTAAAAAAAATCCGCTCAAAAGAAAATGTTTAAATTGTATTATATAAAATAAATTAGCATGATACATACAAGAATTAATCATTACAGTGGTTGGAATAAATGTGATTAATGATGGCATAATAACAACTGCCTGAAAAAAGTTATTGCGCGAAAGGAGTAAAGTGTGATCTCGACCAATTTAAAATTGCTTTAACTTCAAGAGAATTGTTAGGACGTGGAACATATTTTATGTAAGTTTGTGTACATTTAACATATGAGAAAATGTTTGACGTTGAAACACCGAAGGCGAGAAGTAAAGGGAGAAGCTGATCGTATACACCCTCTTTTCATTGATTTGTCCCTCCTACTACCCTCCACTTTATCTTTTACGAGTCTGTAAAAGCTGAAATATATTTGATGGCATTTTGAAAAGACCATAAATACAAAGTGTGGAATAATGGGCACAAATTTGTCGGATTGTGTACGCTTCTAGTTGTTTCGAAACGGTCATGCAATATTTATGTTCAGCCTTTTTTTTTTTGTTTTTTTTTTTAAATTATAGCACGTTATTTGTTTACTTTAAAATAGTTTAAAATGGATGGTTTATTGAAATTAAATAAGTTTTGTAACTTGTCAAGTACAGCCGTTGCCATAGAAAACCCTCGAGTCCTGGATAATAAGTCGGTCTTGACTGTATTTTGTTTTGGAAGACTATTTAGAAAATAATGTCGGCCAAGCAGTATCATCAATCATCGTCAGTATCAATCAATCATTTGTTTATTTTCACTTCGGTGTTGACCTGTGTCTTGGGACTCGACCAAGTTGGTCAGGGACGACCATGATGACACAAGCTCGCACACCAACTAAAACACAACAAACTGATCATATTTCTAATTGGGAGTGATGTTTTTGTTGCCTCGGTTGAATTGGAACTTGATTTTATATTTATAGTTATAGTACTTGTTACTTTTGATTAAATTTATAGCGTTATAGCGGTCATATCTTTCCCGTTTGGTCCCGTCTCACTTCAGCTTCCACGGCGTATTCCGTTGCGCTTCCGTCGTAAAAAGTGGTACAGAATACTTATCGTAAGTTAATTGTTCCGGATGGTGGAGGCCTAACTACAAAAACCCAGACCCGTTGGTTGTCCATAGTCCTGCAATGAGGTCGGCCCAATTGATTTGTCGTTCGCTCACTTCCTCCGCGACACGATTTAGCCACCAGTCATTTGTTGGCCGGCGAAAATCATTTTCGTGGGACTGCCCATTTCCCGGACGAATTGAGGAAATGAATGACAAGAACGCCTCACGTACATGCTGATTATGGGAACAGGCTCAAGGACTTTTTCCCTCCAATGAAGGCTTTTGTAAGCAATTTCTATTAGTGTTTCTATTATTGTTTATAATCCGGATAATGGTCCGAGACTATAATTTTACAGGAAACGCACATGGTAACCAATAACAGAAAGGATATCAACTACATTCACCGAATTTTAAAATGGTAGTAGGAGGAATACCTACCGTGTCTGTTATATTTAGTACATTGTTAGCAGTGTGCAATTAAACAGAGGCGTTTGGTCTTCTCTTACCATACTGGTTTACTTAACATCGTACGTATGTGTAGACTGTCAGATGTAGTTAGGTATTTCGCCACATACAGTTTATCTACATCCAAATTGTCCTTTAGTGTGGGTTTTGTCGCCATCTTAAAGGGAGTCAAGTGAAATCACAAATAATTATGGCAAAATGTTGAAACTAGTTACGATGGACTTGGATGATCGGTCTTGATCACTCCAATGGCCTCAATAAATATCATTTATTTTTTATTTTTCTTGGTTAATATAAATTTCAAATAATATCCTAACCAGTTCAATTTGTCAAGAAATTAATGTTGTACCTCTTCACAAAAAAAAGTTTTTTCTTTTCATATCCTAAAATCATAGCATGATGATTATTGTTTTAATTTATGTCAAACACACCGTCAACGAATTTGAACTTTCTTCGATTCTTTTTTACATAAAATGAAAATGTAAAATAATTACTTCTTTATTCTAATTGTGCGTAGGAAAAAATCCCATTTAGCCCTGATACTTAGTTGCCTACGTCCATCTTGTTTAGACATTTAACAATTAAGTTACTAGTTATTAAGTCATTTAAATTCAATTGGATTTTTTTGTGTGCACGATCGAGAGATAAAGTGTGACACGTAAAACATACATGTGTGTGCCTTTTATTTTTTAGTCCGTTTTATTAAAGCAAAATCAATTTAATTGTATATCATTTGTGGCCAAATTGAATTAGAATCAGCCCACTAAAATTTGAAAATGTGCCCTGGTTAACAATTGTTGTTCAGACGCTATTGTTAGCTGTTAATAATACCCCTTAGTTTTTTGTAACCTGAAACTATACTTGATTGTTTATCATTATGAAATGTTATTTAATCATTCTTGAACATGCCCACCTAACTTGTATAATATGTAGTTAACAAGTTACTGTTCCTAGTTTTATTGTACGTTTCTGACCAAATCGTAGTTGTATAATCGTATTTTGTACTTCTGCAATTGGAAATGTGTGTGTCTTCGATTAAATAATATGCTTCGCTAAATAGATGTAAATTTGAGAAATAGCACGAATAGGAATTTCATAATTTAATTGCTGTGAAACATTACTTCACACATAGACTGTTTATTTGTAATATGTTTCGGGGCAATTGCTTGCACTTTTTTTGGTCATTTATTGTAAAAGGGGGAATGTGCTCTCTTCCATCTTGTTGGTCTGTGGGTATAGTATCATATATACGCTACGTATTTTGTACAATATGTTTGTATTTGTAAACATTTTTATTTGTCTTCTACAAATGGAAACGTATTATCAGACACACGCTTGTTATATAGATGATTATTTCTGTATTTCATTATTAGTCACTAACGTGTTTTTTTTTTTTGCAGGTAAGTTATCTTTGGATTGCTTGTGTCTGTCCCAGTGTGGTAAGAAATGTATATATTTTTCATACCAAACTGAATGCATGATCTATCTTTAAAACCATCCACATATCATGAAATTGTATCAAATCGTGGGCTTAATTTTTTTTGCAACCCGCAGACGTCTTAGCTGACCATGTGATTGTGCTAATGAGTACGTTTGTGAAAGGTTGTCTCTTTTGAAACTGGTCGCGCTCACACCGTCCGAATGAAAACGTGCTGAGATAGTTTTAAATGCCAGAGTGAAAACAGGTCCTTTTTCGAATATGAAACCACGCCACTCCTGTTGCGATTTGGACACCTCCCCGTCCTTTTGGGATCGGGTTTTTGCGATTTTCAAGAATGAATTCGCCGATCACGATTCCGCAGTGCTGACCTTCAATTTTTGACCGGCTTCGCTTTCACCGTCCCCAAAAATATTGATCGAAAAACAGCTGAAAATTCACTTGAAAGCAAAATCGACTTGGATAAAATTTGACCCGTTGGACCAGATGTCACGTTTCACAGTTTGTGCGTGTTCGCAGTGTTAAAAAATGTCTTCGTCCTACGCCTATGAGTTTGATTAGCTCTCTGGAAATTAACGTGGGCTTAAACTGGTTGCTTAAAATGCATTGGAGCCGTTTTACTGCTAGATTAAATAACCTACGCGGGTTGTAAATTTCCCACATCGCGCAACCCAAGTGGCATCGTCTTGCATTTTTCGTTTTCTGGCATCATCTTTCCCATCGCTTTACATTTTTCACATCCACCCAAACCAATAAGATGTTTAATTCTTATTGTTTTTAACTTGTCTTCCAGATGGATAGCTGGTGCTACTGCCTTGTAAGTGGAGATTTCGCCGAATTACTCGGCAGTCGAGTGAGTTGCTAAACTATCAACTATAGAGAGTTGACATGTGCTTTGTCTGTTTTTGTTTTTGACTAGCTGCTTGTAGTGGGCATAAAGTCGCTTTTTGTTTTATCAATGCTATTAATTACAATCAAAGGCTTTTAGTCAAAAGTTGTTTTAAGTTTTTTATTTTGTTTTTGAAATATTTACTTTCCTGGCATAAAACAGACGAACTCTATCCTGCCCTTTCTTCCTATTTTTTATTTAATTTACTTTTTTATTCTGTAGTATATGAATGCATATTTTTTTAATGCAAGAATATGTACAATGCCAAAAATTAATGGCAATTACTTCAGACTGAATTTAAACATTAATTAAACAACGGGATCAATTTTAACAATTGCTTGTATTTTCGCTTCATTTTTTACTTATTTGTTAAATTTGGTAAAACTTTAACTAAGCGTGGTTACGTAGTTGGAACGTATCCGTACCATCTCGACCTGCTTTTCAGAAATATCCCCAAGTTTAAGCCTGATTTTTTAAGACAATATGCTGAGCCCACCATGAACATTGTACTTGTTGATTAATTAAAAGCCCTTCCAGAAAAGGCCGAGCATAAACATTAACTTTTGTATGGTTATTGATCATTTCGTATGTTTATCATATTTTTATCATTGATTATTCAGAAATCGTGAGATGCGGTCTGGTGTGATGTAGGTTTCAAAAAGACATTTTCTTTATCGTGCCAACGTTTCGATCTTTATTGAGATCATCTTCAGGGCCTGGGATTGACAAACATTGTTTAAATTTAACAAAAACATGTAGAATGTGGAAAAAAGTGAATTTATACAATGCAAAAACTTGTTGACACAATAAAGAAACTGTTTTTCTGAAACCTACATCACACCAGACCGCATCTCACGATTTCTGAATAATCATCGCCAAATGGTCACTAATTACCACACATTTTTATCATTGTTTCTTAAATGAAGGAACACAATATACAAATTACAACTGACACTGACTTTTTTATCTCAACCAAGACCTTACATGGAAAGAATAATTTCTTCATTGAAAGATGTGACTTGGTCAATTGACCACTAAAACGTAAATGAATGAATATTTAATAAGTACGCAATCTTGGCTCGTAATCTCTCGCTCTTTTATGCTATTTTGCAGTGATAGGAATGCATATATTGCGGGGTGATGAATCTGCCTATCTTCTGTTAGGGCATTTTGCAGTGATTACTCCTAGGGCAGGATTATAAGCAGGGTATTGCCTACTTATGTTTGGCATGTTAAAAGAATCAATTGTTATTAACCACGATCAAGAATTCACAAAACTTATTTGAAAAATTATGAACAGTTCAGAGCATTTAACACATAAACATTTATAATGGTCGTTCACGTATGGTCGTTTTAATAGCACGATAACCCTTTAAACACGATCCAACGGTTGGGTGACGAGCCTAAATATTTTACATATAAATATATTTTTAATTTTATTAGGTTGAATGGCCGTTTTCGCCTGTACGCCAGTGAAAGTGCTGATTTTTCACCTTCTAGTTAACTAAATCAGTTGCTCGAGTGATTTCACACCCGAAGAAGCCTATTAAGTTCCTTGTAATTCTATTTATTAGAAGCCTCATCTGTTCCGTTCGAGCAGCCAAGCACCCAGTCGTTGCCTATCCGACTTTCTTGGAGTGGAAAAAGTCCGAAGCGGGTCTATTAAAAGCGTTCTTTCTGCTAATCCTCCCTTCTAATGAAAGTCAGCTAATTGACTCCAGTCGAAATTCCTAAGGGAAGCTTGTGTCCGTCGACCTTTTGAAAATCCGAGCATTTGGCCAAGAACGGCCAATTTCACCGGGGAGCTTTCACTTTCGTCGACGGGCCTGTTTTCAGACACTGCCCCCGATCCAGGGTGAATGTTCTTAATGTAGGCTTTGAATTGATTTATTACGATATTTACAACACTCAGTAGTATTAATTTACTAATATATAATTATTTTATGTTCCACTCTGATACTTTCTGTTCACGTCCGCTGGATGATATGACTCGTTCGTTGTTTCGGTTAAACCTGGTCTACCTGTGACATTTCAACATTTTGGTTGGTTTGTCTTTCCACATATTTCCACCACTGAACATGGTGAGCTGCCGTTTGGCTTTGGTTTGTCCTTTATAAGTGACTAAGCTTTTAGTCATCGTTGCTGGTTTTGCTCCATGTGTACCACTAAAGACGGTGTCTTACCAGGACGATGCGAATGTTCAAACCACATGATAATCACCCGTAAGATTTCAACAATAATTATAAGTTCAAAAATGATATAATTTTTAGAACCTGAGGGGGTACGCAAAACACAAGCTGCTTATTAAAAAGCTTGTTACGTACTAAATTTCTACTTTTATGAGAACCAATCTTATCTATTATTCATTTCATTAGTTAGCGAAAACATTTGACGAAATCACAGACAAATCAACCATGGAAGATATCTTAACAAAAGTGTCTTGAAAGGGAACTTCATACCTTACAGATCTCTACAAATTATCTCACAATATTATTGATAGTTTACTACGTATAGGGTTTATTTTTTATTTTTTTTTTACTAGCCTTCATGATTTTCACAGTTATATTTTTACCAAATAAAACATCACTTTCTCTTATATTTATAAAGTTTTGTTGGTATTTTGGAAAAACTAAAATCCAACCTTTAAAAAGAACGTTGAACCTTGAGCGTTTGTAACTGGAGAACTCGAAAATCCAAAAAGGCTGATGATCCAAAACGACCTAACTACGCGTCATAACATTCAACAGACGAAAATTGACAAAATGAGGGAATCTGATAGTTAAAAAGCTGGTACGTAATAAATGTATAACTTTGTGAACTTCCAGTACTATCTTTAATGGTTAATTTATAATTAATTATTAATTAATAAACATCATCTAGTATCGTGAACTTATGCAGTTACTTTTATAAACCTCTTTAATCTGTCAATTTATCCCAGACAGGTATGACTATTCTAGGAAAGATTCCCTAATATTATTGTACATTATTACCACGGGGTCGTGGGTTCGAATCCCGCTTGTGACACTGACCTTTTATCTCAACCAAAACCTTAATTAATTGAAAATTGTATTTTATGTTTTTGAAACGTGACCAATAGTGTTGCGTGATCTAAATATAAAGGAATAAGTAATGACATTGATAAACAAGTGAAACCATCACTGATCAGGAGGTTTTTTTGTTTAAATATGGAAGTCGTCGGTACTTGGTCTTGAAGGTGTGTTTTATTCCAAGCGGTGAACCAATTAACTGTAGTAGCCAGCTATTTCTATTCCCCAAGAATAATGGAAAATTCCCAGACGAAAATAAAACGGTCTCGGTAGACGCTTGATCACTTAAACCACGTTGCTTCTAGGATGTAATTCCTGTCTGGTTTTAGAATTATCCCCGTTCTAGTTTCTTGTGTACGATTTTTTCCTTTTTTTCTGTCCTCGGTGAGTGTTTCGTGTTGTCAACCCTCCTTGGCGTGTTTGAAAAGGTACAAGGGCTACCCGAACCGTAATCATGCGGCATCTGCAGGCCATTAGCCACGCGGCCCGACCGTCTTCACACTTCCTCCGATGGCCTTTTTGCAGCAGCGTTCGCAACGGGACGGGTCCGTGCTCCCTCGTCGATCCGCCCCGGCACAAAGGACAATAAATATTCATAGCTGTAAATATTCATGGCGGCGGTGGTGAGATGCGGTTAGATAATTGGCTGTCTGGAGCGGGGAAAGACAAAATTACAACATAAGAAGTAGGGTCGTGTCTCAAAGACAATGCTCATCCTATTTTTTTGGCCTATCCTTTTTCTCCCCCGCGCACTTCCCGTCAGCATTTTTTGCCCCCATCGGTTTTGTTCGGCGCCGAGCTTGATCTATGACAATAACAACTTTGGTTATTTCCTCCGTCTAGAATCACTTTCCGGTCTATAAATGTACCTATCTTCTCTCCACGGATTCAAGGCTAATCGTTATCAGCTAAAAAACGGGGAGTGCCGCATACGGAAAAATCAATAAGATAATGTGCTGACTCTTACAGTTACTCTATAATTGGAAAGAATTCAGACAAAACCTCTTCGTAAAGTTAGACGTGTTTGGTTCAAATACTTTTCAAAACTTTTACCCAAGATAAAGTCATTGACATGCATCGGCTCAACTTGTCGAACTTTTCTGTGGGGGGGGGGTCTAATTTTCTATATTCGGAATTCCAAACTTTTACTAACTTTGTGATTTCCTCAGGAGGTCTATGGGGTGATGAATTTGTAAGTTGGACGATTACGTTCATTCTTGTTGCTTATCTTCTTAATCTGTCACGCGTTTCTGCTTCAAACCATCTTCAGTCCTGGGTCAGGGAATTAAGGGCGAGACTCAAATGCCTACCATTGAAAGTAACGAATGACCGAAACGAGGGTGTCAATTGCAACAAATGTTTGTTGATTGTTGTTGTGTTGTGATTTGCTGACTCAGTTTGGTGGTTGTGATAGGCTTTAAATGAAGTTTCCAGACAAAATACAAAGGGAAATTACACGGACCGTTCTGCCAACGGGCAAACATGGTTTGTGAGCTTCGCTCTTATATCCCTGATCATTGAAGATGACGAGAAACGACTATGACAGACTAAAATAGGGACAATATGTAGAAAATTATCGGAAATTACTAAACTACAGTAAAAGTTCGTTGGATGTCTTACGTTGTTCGGCTGTTCTGATAAGGATGGGCTGAAAATGTGGTTTCTGGACAAGGCAAAGTGATGTTGCGCAGACCGTCTTGCAAATGTCGCGTCCAAAAATTGCTCCATTTTTCCAGTTCCAAACTGCTTATTGATTTAGACAACATACGAAAACGTTTAAATGTCATCAGTTTTATGACGATTGTGTTAATGCTATTCAACGAAATCGATTTTTCCTTGAGAATAAATATTGACAAAACAATGTATTCACTCGGCGTTTATCGAGAACTTTCATCATCCCGGTGTCTTTAAACAATG